GTGCCCAATCCAGAGTGGCAAAAGAATAAAGCACAACGGAGATGATGATGTTGTACCACCTGCTGGAAAATAGTGTGCATATGTACTGAGCTACCAGCAACCCAGAAGAAGGGAGTGCAGGGCTTGAAGATGTGGAGTCACTGTGTTGATTTCCAATTTGATGTTTATCTCTCCGGGGCTGATTTTCTCTAGCATTATTTCATTTGGTTCTTATGAGGACAGGTCATTGTTTTTTCAGGCAAAGGATAAGAATTCTGAGACGAGCATTTTTTTTGTTTTTTGTTTTTTGTTTTTTTTTTTTTTTTGAGACAGGGACTTGCTCTCTGTCACCCAGGCTATAATGCAGTGGTAAAATCACAGCTTACTGCAGCCTCGACCTCCAGGCTCAGTGATACACCCACCTCAGCCTCCCAAGTAGCTGCGACTACAGGTGCATGCCACCATGCTCAGTTAGTTTTTTTTGTTGTTGTTTTGTTTTGTTTTTTCCTGTAGAAACAGAGTCTCACTATGTTTCCCGGGATGGTTTTGAACTCTCAGGCTCAAGCAATCCATTTGCCTCAGTCTCCCAAAGTGCTGGGGTTACAGGCGTGAGCCACTGCACCCGGCCTCGAGCATCCTTTAATAGATTTTCTTTGCAGGCAAGAAGACGTCCCGTCATCCCCTGCACCAGGACCTGCACTATTTCCCCTTCAGGCCCAGCAATCTCATCGTTTGTGCCTGGACGGCAATGGAGCACATCGACCGGAACAATGGTTGTCTGGTTGTGCTCCCAGGAACACACAAGGGCTCCCTGAAGCCTCACGATTACCCCAAGTGGGAGGTAGGTCTGCCTGGCGGCTGAGTCTTGATCCGAATCTCCTTCGCGGTTTCTGTTTCACATCAGTATCTATAAAGACCTTACAAATGAGATGGCATTTCCTTTCTGAGCAAAACACTGTCCTAAGATTTGCAGTGAGGATCAGAGAAAGTTCAAGGACGTCAGAGAAAACATTCATCACACCTATTTTTTTCAACCCATCCTTTTTTTTTTTTTTTGAGACAGTGTCTTGTTCAATTCTGCAACCTCCACCTCCCAGGTTCAAGCCATCCTCCTGCCTCAGTCTCCCCAGTAGCTGGTACTACGGGTGTGCACCACCACGCCCAGCTAATTTTTGTATTTTTAGTAGAGGCGGGGTTTTGCCATGTTAGCCAGGTTGGTCTCGAACTCCTGGCCTCAGGTGATCGTTCGCCTCGGCCTCCCAAAGTGCTGGGACTAAAGCCATGGGCCACTGTACCTGGCCTCAACACGTGTTTGAAAGCCAGCCAAGGGGTGCTTGGGTAGCTACTGTATAGGATCCGAGATTGTAAAGCCTAGCTGCGGAGGTAAGACATAAACCCTTCGACCCCAGATGTGTATGGTAGACACCAAGCCAGTCTTACTCACTAACTGATGGCTTTTAAGAGTAAGGAAGGAGAGATTATCTACTTTGAACTGCAGAGACCAGCAAAGGATCTGGGGAGGCTGGTGTTTGACCTGAGTGTTGCAGGACAGGGTACATTGTCCCATAGG